AAAGGAGTAAATAATGGTAGGTTCTACAGCTAGTGCTGGAAAAAAGTCTATACTCCTATTTCAAAAATGTTACTACTATGTTACTATGGTAACGTTGATTCCTTCAAAATGATCGGCGTGTTAATCAACCTCGCTGTCGCTCGGACTCTTACGTACACGCTAGGGTCCATAAAAGCCTAATTCACGCCCTTGATACATAAATAACCAATATTGATACACCTTCTCGACTGAAATTAAGATTATACTCTTGGCCAGGGACCTCCAAACAGCCCATGCAAACTCCCCTAGCTCTCAATAACCCTGATGAATTTGTTATTCTCCATTCGTGATGTTGATCAAATAATTGTATTCTTTTAAAAACAATATTTTTATGTTCAGTCAGTCAAGGTTAGTGGATTATGCATTATATTATTATTATATTACACTGGGTGTTTTGAATTTGAATACTGCTTCTACTGATACAGGATTCCCTATTTCCAACAAAAAAAATTCTTAAATTGTTCTTGAATTACTTACTATTCCAGATTGATCAAGGTAATTACTTGCAGTTTTCAGTATTTGATTTTAAGAACCAGTGGCGTAGTTACGGTCGTATGTCGCCACATTTTCTTTTATATTTTTCATGGATATACAGGGTTGGGATGAAGTATGGAACGAAGCAAATACCTCGGTAACCGTTTGTTAGATTTTTTTGATTCATGTACGGGGTGATTTCAGAACGTGCCGGATTTGAAAATGTTATCGCCAATGTTGCCACTTCTTCAGTTATTCCGGAATTATCATCAACTTCCTTATTTTAAATAGAATAACACCTTGTTTTACTTCATTCTTTGGGATTTTCTCTCCTCGTATCTATACCATAAAAATATTCGTATTATTTCAATATATTTGTAGTGGGACAAATCATCACAAAATGTCACTGCGTTTAACAAATCAGGGAGTCTTAAAGAAAAATCCAGTTGCTTGTCAGTGACAATTTGTTTGAAAAAAATTTTGAAGGAAAGAAATATAGATATTGAAGAAATATCGAATTTTCACTTATCTTTATCTATATTTCTTTCCTTCAAACATTTTTTCAAACAAATTGTCACTGACAAGCTACTGGGTTTTTCTTTTAGACTCCCTGATAGAAAAATGTATTAAACGCAGTGAGATTTTGGGGCAAATCATCTGATTTGTCCCACTACAAAATAATATATGGAAATAATAGGAATATTTTCATTTTATAGAAACGAGGAGAGAAAATCCCAAAGAATCAAGTAAAATGAATAAACCACCTCCTCGATTAACCTACAGACAGTATAGAACACCTTGTAAATTCTTGCTGAAAAGTTGATTTCATCGATTTATTACACTTGGGGTCTAGCAGGAATGGAACTTTTGGATTTTTTTTTGTGTAGAAACTTTTCATTATTACCCCTGATGTAATTCTGAAACTGAAACTTGAGTATATTCAATTTTTCCTCAGAAATGTGACGAATTGAAATCTGAAATGGACCTGTTTCAGGCGATTCCTGAGAAATGGATATAGTTTGGATAAAAATGAAGTCTTTACGGAAGCACTGTATGAAAAGAAGAATGAATTGAGAACATTAGGAATGCCAATCCCATACAACAACATGAATTAAATGACTCAATGAACGTTCCACAAAGCATAAATCATAACCATTAAAATGTTATCAACAGCAAACTCAGAGGCATTCATAAAAATAACAAAGTGTGTTGATCAGCTTACTATCTCCCAACATGAATCAAAATTTCAGACAGGATATACAAGGTGATTCACCCTAGATGTTGTCTTTGTTACCAACTTAATAACCAAATAATAGCAAGGAGATAATGAAGTAGTTTCCTATCAAAAAGTTCACATGACTTCGTCCCGACGCATAATGGAAAGCTACAGGGAAAGCAAATTTGAAAATGCGCTTGACATTCTATCACTATATCATGTTTGAAAATTCAAAGGCTAAGGGTACGAAAACGTTTCATTCGTTCAGGAAATAGAAACATAAAATATACTTTCACAAAGGCTTTAATTTTGGCTTGTTAAAAAATATTTAAACCTTCTATACCATGTGGAGCTTGTACAATATACTGAAAAGTAGGTAGGTATTCATTATTTTAGTCATGGAGTGGAGAATAATGTAAACAGCCACTTTCATGTTATTACCAAAAAGCAATTGAAACTTGAATTTGATTTAGATTGTTCATAATTTTGTTCTACGAATGGATATCATAGACAAACTTTCTTTTTTTGAAACCGAAGAATAGTGTACAGAATGCCTTTTTGAAGATACGTGAATATAGTAAATAAAATGTCACTTTTCATAAATTACTTTTTTCCCACGGGAAAAAACTTTATACATTTTTTCTGTACATATATCACATACATACATTGTTGATGGCTTTTGTTGTGCTATAGTTCCGAAATATACGCCAATAACACTGTTCACACAATACACAATCACAGCAATACGTAGTAGGCCTCTTATGATTGCAAATTATCCTGAAGTGATTCAAATCAGAATCATCATGATATCTGTAATAACCACTGAAAGATGAATACTATTCAGATGAATATTTGCGAGAGCGCACCAAAATTAGTAAGAATCGATACTTTGCGGAAAAAGAAGATTTTTGTTGCCGCGTACTGCTACAGCTCATTTTCTGCCCTTGTGACAAGATATACCATTTTGACTCGATCGTCCTAGAATCTTGTCCACCAATCCAAAAAACAGTATTTTCCGGACTTGTTATGTAAATCACTATGTTCACAGTCTTTCATAAAAAAATTCCGCACGTCACGAAAGTAAAAAAATGAGCCTTCTTTGGCATTTGTTATAAAGATAATTCCATCAATCCTGAGCAGAACCGCAACTAGCCCCAAAGAATAATGGGTTAGACTATAATAGCCGCGGGCTGCTAAAGCTCATATTCTGCCCTTGTGACAAAATATACTATTTTGACTCGCATTCATTGTTCAATTTTGTTCAAGAAATGCATCACCTCCAACTGAGCTGAAATGAACAGTTTTCGAGATATTCCACCCGAAATAGAAGAGTGCATAGTAATATTTCATCATTTTCAGTAGTAGAAAATTGCAAAAATATTTTTCTGGTGTTGAGTAGATTAGATACTATTCAGATCTCATTCTGTAGCTGAACAGAAATAGTTATTCCACGCATAAAGAGAAAACAAAAATTTTTGTAATCTTCTACTACTGAAGAAGATGAAAAATTACTATGCAAACTTCTATTTTGGGTCAAATATCTCGATAACTGTTCATTTTAGCTCAGCTGAAGGTGATGCATTCTTTCAACATAATTGAACAATCAATTCGAGAATATGGAAATAATCAAAATTTCATCAGTGGCGTAGAAAATATGGGAGGAATAGTTATGATGTATATACCGAGAAGTGACGATTTTGATAAATACACCGCCAGAGACAGAGATAATGGAAAAAGCTGCGGAAGTTGGATTTGTTTCCGGAAATTTCAAGGAAAAAATATGAATTGGCATATATACGAAAACTTTATGGAATCTACAAAAATACAGAAATAAAATCTTTTTCGGAAAGTGTACTTTTTTGAAATACCTTGAGGCTTGAGGAACTAGGAAAGGCGTCTACTCTTTGGTCACAATATTCAATGTGGCATAGTGCCACATTATAAAATGAATACCAATAAGCTACATTACTCGGATTCTTTGAATAAGTGTAGTTGTAGAAGAAGTATAGTGAGCAACATTTGGGGAGAAGCAGTTTTCTCACTCGTGTGTTTGCATCACTCGCCCTTCTGGCTCGTGCCACAAACTTTCGCACTCGTGAGAAAAGTTTAACTTTCCCCACTTGTTGCACAATATACTAATTCTCACAGTCTTTTTTAAAGAAAATCCTGAACTAAAAGAACGTAAGAAAATGCGCCTTCTTTGGTATTTGTTGTAGAAATAATTCCATCAATCCTGAGCAGAACCGCAACTAACCCCAAAGAATAATTGGTTAGACTACAATAGCCGCGGGCTGCTAAAACTCATTTTCTGCCCTTGTGACATAATAATTATTTATTATATATACAAGGGAAAAAAGTAGTAGATTTTAGCTCCAGGTTGTGTTGTCTCCCGACGCGTAGCGGAGGGAGACATAAAACCATGAGCTAAAATCTAACATTTTTCCCGTGTATAATACACTATTTTTGTCTGTGACAGAAGAGAGGACGCATCAATATTGAGAAGGTATCACAGTATTTTGGAATCTAAAAATTATCGACGTGAAATTTTAAGTTTTTACCAGTAGGGACACCTGCGTTGTAGGCATCCTTAACATTCTTTTGAAGTTATCAAATATCTGATGTCACTTCTGTCAGTCTAATTCTGTGATTTGATTTCAAAAAATTGCGAATTCAGTGGTTGTTTAGTATTATACGTAACGGCGAAGTCGAATGGAAGATAAAAGGACTTGCAGTTCTTTCTCGGAGACGGTATTATTGACTCATTTTTCGGAACTATAGCACAACAAAATCCATCAACAGTGTATATATATGTGATATATATCCGGGAAAAAAACTACTCACTTTTTTTCCACGGGAAAAAAGACATTTAGGAAAAGTGACATTTTATAACCTGCCAACAGAGATGAAATGCCAAATTTTTTTCCCGTCACAGAAAAAATACTATTTCGACTCGCAGACCTCCAGGACTTACCTTCATACGGCTCGTCCTAGAATCTAAGAATCTTGTCTACCAACCAAAAAAAAAACAGTATTTTCCGGACTTGCCATGTCAATCACCATTTTCACAGTCTTTTTTCATTGAAAAAATCCGCACTTCAAGAAAGTAAAAAAATGAGCCTTCTTTGGCATTTGTTGTAGAAATAATTCCATCAATCCTGAGCAGAACCGCAACTAGCCCCAAAGAATAATGGGCAAGGCACTTACTTGATAAGATATCTGCGAAGAAGATGCTCCACCGTGAGTGAGGAGCATAGGCGGGTGTTGGGAGGGGATGGCTGCTATAAATTCGACCAGCAGCGGCTCATCCTTGACTCTTCGACATTTTGCGTGCCCAGTGTTTAGTGTTGGTCAACCGAATAACGAAGGTTTTACAAAGCTGCAAGGTGGGTCTCATTTTTTTTTTATCTAATTTTTGCGAGGTGTACAGTGACAGATTTCGTTTTGTATGGACCATTTTCGAAAGTTGTGAAACGATTTTAATCTGTGACAATTTAGCATTGATTTGTTCATGAAATATTTCTGGATTCAGAAAGGTACAATTAGGAATTATTTTCAAAATAATGACTATCTTGTCATGTAATGTATATGTACAGTGTGCCCACCTTAAGGACTTACCACCCCTGTAAAATCGTTATTATCCGACCGATTTCAAAAAACCTTTTTTTTTTGGATAGGTATTTGAAATGCCCATCCAACGAGAGAGTGATCTAATTCTTGGACTGTAATCGTGTCCAACTGCGTCAAATTTCAATGACCCATATTCCAGAAAGAACTATTAGGGATTTTTTTCCACGAAACTTGATGATGGATTCTGAATCAGTACCACTTGAAATATACCTGTACCGATTTTCATCATCATAAAACACAGGGTGTCCGAAAAAACAAATCATCATTTTCTTCAAATAGGTGATCAGCAAATGTAGTTCTGTGGTTTTTCTAGAAAGAAATAATCACAAATTATCATTGAGGATTATTTCAAATATACCTGTACCAATTTTCGTCTTTTGAATATACAATATGTGTCTGAGAAAAAAATTAAAAAGGATAGGTAAGCAATATTTTTCATCCTGATAATTCTTCACTCAAAATGAAAAGATGAATCAGGATCACTTGGAACATACCTGTACCGATTCTCATCATCATTACACACAGGGTGTTCGAAAAATCAAATTAATATTTTTTTTGAGTTGATGAAAAAATATTGCCTACTTTTTCTTTTTAATTGTTCTCTCATGCACATCGTATTTTTGAAATCGATACAGATATGTTCAAAGTGATCCTCAATAATAATGTGTCATCAATTCTTCTCAAAAATACCACAATACTACATTTTCTGATCACCTATTAAAAAAAAACATAATTCGTTTTTTTGGACACCCTGTGTTTTATGATGATAAAAATCAGTAAAGGTGTTTTTCAAGTGATCGTGATTCAGAATCCATCATTGTTTTTTGTGAAAAAAAATCCCTAATAGTACTTTCTCAAATATGAGTCAATAAAGTTGGTCGCAGTTGGCCACGATTACAGTTCATGAGTAAAATCACTCTCTTGTTGGATGGAAATTTCAAATACCTATCCAACAAAAAAAAGTTTCTTGAAATCGGTCAGATAATAACAATTTTACAGGGGTGGTAAGTCCTTAAGGTGGACACACTGTATAAATATTCCCACATTTTTGTGGTCAATCAAAACCGATAAATCCACTTTCAGTGATTTCGAGATAATTGATAAAAATATCCTAGGGAGATCCTAAGATTTTCCGAATATTATTTCGCGTGAATTCAGGTATGTGTAGGTTATCAACTATAAACCCCAAATATAGGGATCGCAGTATTAGTAATTTTGAAAAGATATATATTTTTCAATTGGTTCTATCGGTTTTTGTCATTCTTCTTCTTTTTGTCAGGAACTTTATGGACTACAATAGGTACTACTAGTACTCACTTATCATGCGATGGTTTTTTTTTTCCGAAAATTTTTTTCGGTTCTTACGTATTTTCGTCTGAGAAACACGAATTTCACAATGAAAATTTGAACAAACCGCTATCTATTGAGATATTTTACGAAAAAATGCGGAAATTTTCATTTTCAAAATAATGACCATCTTGTCATGTATATAAATATTTCCACATTTTTGTGGTCATTCAAAACCTGGAAAAAAGCTGGCACAGTAGCATTGTATGAATACAGGATCATTGTTCTTGATCAAAAGTGAATGATTCCAACAACTTTTTTTTTGTTGAGGAATATGAGAATTCTTTGTTGAAATATCTTACAGAAAACAACTAGTTTCCTGGCTATAATACCACAGAATATTGAATTATATACATTATGTATCGAAGAATTATATAACTAATTCTGAGAAAATATAATATGTTCTATACCAAATATTGAAAAATATGAATCTATTTATTATTATCTGCTTACACCAGGAAGATGAAATGAATTGAATTAACAAATTTTTATACATTCATACAAAAAAAGTTATAGAGAATATATTTTCTCGGAATTAGATATATGTTATATGTTTCGACACATAATTCAATATTCTGATCTATTAGTCAGAGAAAAGTAGTTCTTTCTCTAAGGTGTTTGAACAATAGTTACTGTACCAATTGTTTTCATTTTGTTTTTCAATAAGGAATTTCCAATATTTGACAAATGTAATTCCATATTCTGTGGCATTATCCAGGAAAGTAGTTGTTTTCTGTTAGATATTTCAACAATGAGTTTCTCATTCCACGAAAACATATTCCAAACCAATCAATTGCAGAATATCACACAATCAAATATAATAATAAAAACAATTCACTGTGTATCATATAATATCGACACATCGAACATTTTTCGGGTTATAAGAGTCATAATTGATATATCGAAGACTTTTTGAAAATTATGCATTTCAAATTCGATTATTGATTATATTTTCAATACAATATTGATACTCATAGAACTAAATGTTTTTCTAAAACTGCATGTGGAAATATTTCCAATGTTTCTACTATTTACACTTATGAGAAATTGTTTCTTCAAAATTCTCAATTCTACACTACTTAGCAAAAAAATCGGCTACTAAAAAGTGGACCCCAATTTCAAAGTTATAATTTTCTTCTGTAGTGTGTATAGTCATTTTAGTTCGAGCATATATTTCAGGGTAGAAGAATTAAAAATATATCATTACTCCTATACGATATACCTACTTCTTGTAATATTTAGTGTGCATATACAGGGTGCAATTCAATTGATGGCTGGAAATAAAGAAATATTCCCTGAACGTCCTTTACGGTGTTGAAATTTTAAGAAAAAAATCGTTTTCCTATCATAACTTCAATACCGGTCTAGATATTTCCAAGGAATTTGACATGCATCTACTAAGCACTAATAGGCATTTTTTGATGCAGAAAATTTTTCAATAACTCTACCAGTGGCGTACGTAAGGAATGTATCCTGGAGATTTTTTGAAAAAAATATTGTACGCCCTTAATTTCTTCGACAATAGAAATGGTTTTTGCGTCAACGTCAACGAACCGTAGGCTAATGCCCTATTTTCTATTTGAAATAATGACATTCGATCGATTACGTTGCGGTCTTATTTTGACAAGTATCCATAAACGTGACAGTTTTTTACATTGTGCATGAAAGTTTCTTTAATCAATAAAAAGAAAATTAAATGTTAACACCATATAATTCGAAAGTTGAGAGGTTTAGCAAATATTTTCATATGAGGTCATCTTCTTAAAATGAGCTTATGAACCATATCCTATATTTTCAGCCATCAGATAGATTACACTCTGTTTACTCTTCTTGCACTAGTTGCCCAAATGACAATTATTTCAATGCTGTGGCAAGGCAATTTATTTTTTTATCTTTATAATGGTGCGTTGGGAACTGCATTCAAACGAACACTATTGATAGGATAAGAGGGAGAGTTATTTCATATGGGGGTACATACCCTCATATTCTATACTATGGTACTTCGACCATATCAAGTTACATATAAAAAACTTCAGGCATAGTGATAGCTGTTATCCAATGAATTATATCACCTCATTTTATAATTTAGGCCTTGATAGGGAAACTCCCCATTCAATTTTACACCAAAAAGGTACTCTTGGTGCTACTCGATATACTGTGTTCCATTTTCGGAATATTTCGATTTGAAAATGATGAAGTAATAACTCTTGCTATGCTATAAAGCTATTAGAGTACCTATACGTATTATGAAAAACTATCATCTATTTATTGGAAACCGAAAACAATAATACATTTCAGTGCTAAATTCATTGATTGAACAATGAATCACAAGAATAACTTTGAAACAAATTACCAAAATATTGTGAGAAACGGTGTTCAGTATTGAGTTCTATCATGGGTACCTATTCGATAATGATGTTCAAGTTCACATCAAATTTGGATTAAAAAATCTAACCTCAAGAAAGTTATGTTCAAAGTACTCGGTACGAATCCTCTATGAGAGTCAGATATTAAAACAATTTCATTCAAAAATTGTTTTACTGAGCTAACGTAACTTATTTTGCTGTGTTCTACCTACCCTAGAAAGGGAGTCAGGTTTGTTTGAAACAGCCTGTATAATTCACGTTATACTCCGCACTTTTCGCTCAGGTTTTTTGGTTGTTCATTCTCTTGGATGCAATTTTGTATAGTTTAGTGAAATTTTCGATTATTCTTTTGGCTCTATTGAATCTCTTCTCTCTCTGGCGACTAAATAATTCTCCCATGCTATTCTTGAATTCTTAACCACTATTCAAGCGTCAGAAAAGTAGTAAATCTCACTCTGTAGAAGGTATCCGTAAAATGTGAGAGATTTCTTGGATTCATATAAAACCTGAATAGATATAGGATAGCAAAGTTCTAGATACTATTTATTTCTGCAACCTTCTGCCTTACGAAGGCATGGGCAGGACGCCGCTGAAAATCGGGTTTCCTTTTATTAATGCAATTTATATAAATCAATGAAAATGTAATATGAAGCATTCTCCTTGAAATATGAATATAGTGCCCTTCAAACATACTTCGCTATCTTAGTAACATATTTTGTATGATGGAGCCTGAATCGACTGAAGAACATCAATATTAAGCAAATCGTTGTTTTCAAAAACTTTTCGGAAAAACACATTGGGTAATTAGTTTTTCTACAAGCGTGCGTGATTCACCTTATACCTGCACGCAACTTAGTTTGCGAAGTGTCAAAGTTTTCTCACACTAGTGCGGGATAACCATTTATATAATATTCTCGCAAGATATGAGTGGTGGGTGACACAATATGGACATTTCAGGTTTTCTTGTTGCAGTATTTAGTAAGTTTGTACAAAATCATCCATCAAATTGCACTATTTATTGTGAAAATTAAGAAATATTGAAA